TTGAGAAGGTTTGTCAAAGACACGTAAAATTATTCTGAACCAACACCAGTCGATTCCTTCACGAATATTTTCTTAATGTTTCGTTCTAAAAATTTTACGCTGAAAGCTTCTCGCGATAATGTTAATATTTTACAAATTACGTTCCTCATTTACGTTCCTCGAGTTTTCCAAGAAGAACTTCCACGCGATTTTCTTTGGGAATTGAAACGGCGTGCAATTCAGTTGGGATAGGCTCGTTCCCATTGCTGGTCGCTCGAAATGCGCGTGGCCAAAGGCACTGATTTAGCAACTCCGCCGTTTGGTTTCGCGGTAACACGCGCCTCTATTGAGCACGAACTAACCGTAAATTAGAGGCTAACCTTCCGAGTTGAAGCTCCGTCCGCCTTTTCTTTCGTTTTCTTTCCCCCAAGCTTTCTCGTCGAGGAAAACTCGCCTCTTCCTTCTCCTCGTTCTCTCTTTCACGGACCGTAAACACAAATGTCTATGACAGCGCGTGTCACGTCGATAAAAAAGATGATCGATCGACGACGAGTCATCAAGAAGCCTGAAGAATTTTGCAGTAGTTTAATAATTTGTGTCCTTGTTCATGGAATTATCCAATAATGGCCAAATTTACAGAATTTGAATCTTCGGTTTTATTATTGAAATTGTATGAAACAAAAAATTATATAAATGAAAGAAATATGAATATAAAAAGTAAAATATAGAATTAGATATCGAATAGACATAGATTAGAATATAGAATATTATTCTATAAATGAAAATAAATAAATACAATTCCATATAAATGAAAATAAATAAATAAATACAATTCCATATATAGGTTATAAAATTCTAAAATTTTCGCCGGTAACGCGTTAGAATCATCATAGTTCCTAGGAACGCCAATGCACACGCTGGTAGTTTAATTAACCAGTTCCTTATTTCGTCTCCGTTTGACTACCGAAAACAGAAATCACCATAACCGCTACCACGAGCAGTAAACCACAAGACGGACGATAAATCAGGGAAGGACGGAAGACAGAGTGAACAGAGCAACGATCTATAGATCATCGGGAGGAGGCACGGAAAGCGCGCGAGAAACGGCGCAAGGGATATAAATCGATGCGTTTGCTGCGCGCGCAGCTCTCGGCCGCGTTCGAAAAATCGCGCGGGGCGATGCGCGCGCATCCTCCTGCGCCGCCACATCTCGCAACACCCGCGGCGAATTACCCGCGAGATAGCGATCGCGTTTTGCCACAAACTTCGTGAAAGTGTTTGGCCACGCTCGCGCGACCACTGCTCTCGGCTTCTGGGTCTGAGCCTGCCTCGTTTTACACCGTGATATCCACCGCTTCCTGGATCATAACCGTGTCTGATTGAAATTTTCCAGCCCCTCGTGCTCCTGGTTTTTAGATAACGAAATTATCTCGTTTACGTTTCACGTGTCATAAATTCTCGAAATCTCCTCACCTGCGAGTGTGTGTGTATGTGTGTGTATTTCCTTGACATTTATTATTAGATGTGGGAAAGTTTGCGCGGGATTAGATTAAGGTTAGGTTAGGTTATGTTTTTGACGATTAAAAAAAAATTTTATTGATGCGAGACTGTGCGTAACGTTGACACACGAGGATTTTCTTCCAGTCGACACAATTGATAATTTATTCTCGTCGAGATGACACACACGACATACGCGAGAGTCATTATAATGACGTTCACCAGCTAAGAGGTTAGAAAGAGAAATCTCTACTTTACCAACCTTGACTTCTTTTTCTTTCCGATGTTTTTACAACATGCAGAACGGGTGGAAAATGAAAAGTGAACTGGCAATTCACAACCGGACTGTACGATTTTGTCACTTGAAAATAACAGTTTAAAAATATCGAGAATTTTTCATCGAGCGTGCTCGATACTTTTCGTCCACCCTCTGTAGGTACAGTGCATTTAAAAGGAACGTGCGCGCCATTTCTCCGAAGAAAAATATTATTTATATAGTAATATTATAAATTTATAGTATAGTAATTTATAGTATAAAAATACTATAATTTGTAGTATAGTAATTTATAGTATTAGTCTAGTAGTTTAGACTATAAATTACTATATTATAAATTTATAGTATTTTTATACTATAAATTACTATACTATAATACCATAAATTACTATAATACTATATATTACTAAAATACTATAAATTTAGTAATACTATAATAGTATACTATAAATACTATATAGTAATTTATAGTACAGTAATATTATACATACTATACTAATGAAGTATAATATTTATAGTAAAGAAATAAGGCAAGGTACAAGAAAAATATGTAATACAAAAATAATATAAAAAATATATATAAATATATAATTATATATAAAATTATATATATCACAATAATTAGAATAATACAATATACAGGGAAAGCACAAAAATAAGTTATACAACAGAATAATAAAAATAATACAATACAAGAACACAAGCTTCTATCAATAATACGACTTTGTTAATCGTCAAAACAAAATTCTACAATGGCTGGAAACGAACCAAGAAGCTGAGAACTATAGAATTAGCAAGTGCCATTCGCAGTAAACCTTCTCCACTAAAACCAACTTGTAACAACTTTCGGTTTTCGCCGAGGAAAGAAAAATACCAGAGAGAAAACCCCACGAGTTTCGCACTTTGCCATTTAAGAAGGAAAACACCTGTTAGCACGTGAGCTCTATGGGGTCTCGCTCGAGGAGCTCGCGGCACGGCCGCGGATCGTGTAAACGAGGAGTAAATCACGGTTGTTACATCTCGGTGGAAACACGAGATGGGTGACATTTTAAAGTCAACCTTTTACTAGCCTGTAATTCAGCATCGTCGATGCCTGGGCAACAGAGACCATCGACCTCGCCTTTATGATTTCTTGGGCCCTCGCCACGCTCCCCACGTTGCCTCGTTTCTTTCTCTACCTTCCTTCGCCCCGTTCGCCTTCTTTGTTCGCGTTTCCCGACTCCTATTGTACTCTTCGTTAGCTTTTTATTGGGATTGATGGTCGATGAAGCGTTCGCGATACGATTCCTCTGTGACAGTGATTCTCATTGTTCGAGGGTTTTTCTTTCTTTTGGTAGACATTGTTTTTTTTTTTTTTCGAAAGATCGTTGGAAAATATTATTTCTGTCAAATTGTCGACGATCGGTTTCATTAGTTCTTCGACCACTGAATTATTTGTTCTGTTCCTGGAAATTTGTTTTTAATTAATTTAAATATTTGTTTATTTTCAATTGATTTAATAATAGATTATTTTTGTAATCGATGACCTGCTATTTAATTGAATTACTGAATATTGTACAAAGTATTAGATACAAAGAATATTGTGTTAGGAGTAAGTGTTAGGTTAAAGTTACTAAATAGGTTAATAGGTATTAGGTAATAGGTATCAGGGCAAAGAAGGTCAGTTTGTTCTGTAAATCATTCAACGCAGAATCGAATATTTCCTTTCTTCTTCTTTCAATTCAACTTCGATCCACGATTCAAAATTCAAAGTTCATCAACAATGCCACTCTATTACAAACATCCAGAACCCTAAATAAGCGTACACGTGTATGTATCAAAAACAAATCAGACAAGAATAAAAAAAATCATTAGTTTTGGATCTGAATTCCAGAAAGCATTTCTTTTTTTTTTTTTTTTTTTTAATTTTTAATTTCATTTATCTCGTAATCGATAGTTTGTTATTTAATTAAATTACTGAATATTGGTAGTTCAATAACAACGAAGTTTAACAGCAACGCAGAGTAAAATATATTTCCCTTCTCCTTCAATTCAACTTCGATCTGCGATTCGAAAAAACTCCACGATCATACATCGGCAACGCCACCCTATGACAAACATTCGAAACCCTGTATAAACGTATATATCAAACAAAATCAAACACGCGCAAAGAGATCGTATTTCTCTAACGGTAAAATAAACAGAAAATGAGCGATGCTCCCAGAGCGTTTGCTCGCCGTTTCGATTCAGCCCTTTGAAACTGACAACGAGAACGGCGAATGAGTTTGAGAAAGGGTCGAACACGGAGTCCATTCGATCGGGAATCATCGTTTTATGAGGGCAATGAAGATTTATAGGGGCAGCACGGAGAAGAGTTTTTCGGACGCGATACGGCACGACTTTGGTTACATTGTGCGATGCTAGCGGTCCTCTGGGGTAGTTTAACCACCGGGGTGGCGCTCACCGTCGGAGGGGAGAATTTTGTGAAACGAGTCCCGGGACCACCGGCCCCTATTGTCTTGCAAATCCCCCCGAAAATTTTATTGCTCGTCGGCACTGTGTTTCGCACTCTGACGCATCGTTGAATATCAGTTTACCGGTGCGGATCGCTTCGTCGAGCCGTTGGATCATAATTGCAAATTATGTCCGCTGGTAAACGGCCCTAACTTGCTTTGTGCCACGTAGCAATTACGCTCTTTGCCAGATGTAGGGTATTTTTTTTTTTTTTCTTTTTCTTTTTGTCACTTTCGAACAGTTTTATGTTAATTTATTTGTCAGCATCATTGGGAATTATTTAATTCATTATTAATATTTTTACTTGATTATAATAATAATATTTAGAGTATTTAATATTTATATTATAATAATATTAATCATATTAATGTAATATTTATTTTAAAGTTTTTAATTGTATTTAATATTTAGCAGTTTCTGTTATTAGTATCGTTGGCAATTATTTAATTCGTAATATTTTTAGTATATTATAATAATAATAATATTTATATTTGTATTAATTAATTTATTATTAATACACCCATCTACTGTAGGCTTTTGTATGAAGTCAGAACTATGGTATTGGCGCACGTAGCGTTACTTTACGTATATTAAATTTTACATTACACTAATTATAATAGAATATCTTTAAGTACTATACTACTAGAGTTCACTTCAGATTGTTATCCCGAATTCAAACTTCAAAATTTCAATTTCGTACGACGTGTAGAAAAATACGGCGGAACGTATCATAACGTATCATGAAACGATGTTTCAGGTATCGATTCGCACAGGCAATATGTCGGTGCTTCTCGAGGCGAGGTCTTACAGGCCTTTCAAGTCCTCGGAGGAGTATTTGGTCGCGATGAAAGAGGACCTGGCCGAATGGTTGAACGCGCTGTATCCGGAGCTGAGAATCAACGTTGACAATTTTATGGACAGGCTGGACACCGGCGTCGCACTCTGTAAAGTAAGTGGTCGCCGAAAGATTTATTACATTCCCCAGAACTATAAACCAGACCTTCGAGTCGTTAAACTATATATATATATATATATGTAAAACGCGTAGGTCTAAATAGAACTGTAAACGAGTACTTAACCAAAATGAATTCTCAAAGATTCGTCAAATGATAATAGAAAGATAATACGTACACGCGTTTGGAATTTGTATATAAATAATATATAATTTATATTACTAATATATATTATATTATATTATATCATATATATTACTAATATTACTAATATATATTACTAATATATATATTATATTATATTATTAATTTATTATAAACGAAAGAGGAATTAAAGAAGACTTGTATGAATTTTTATATTTTCGCAAAAGTTCAAGGAAAAGAAGCTAGATTAAATTTCTGCATTTGGTATTTCACATGTTTCTTTTTTTTTTTCCGTACATTCTTCGTGTTCTTCACGATTTTTCGTATTATTGGACATTGCGAGTCATAATGAAACGTATAAATTTCTTTATCCAAAGCAAAACTAATCCTCAAAAAGATCGTATAAATTCTATTATATCGCGCGTTAATTCAATTTTCCACGATTGCATAATTTTCGTAATGCCGCGTGGGGGGATTTAAACGTAAAGTTCGAAAAATAAAATTTTAACATGAAATGTACAAATCGAGGGTAAACGTCGACTACGTTCAATACGAAAACTAGAAAGTCAAGCCAAAGGGTTAATCAACTTGGCAACTGATTGCGGACCATAACGAGCGACCGAAACGTGTACAATAAATCGCCGCTTTCTTTCTCTTTCGAACTCGTCGTGGTATGATATCACTGGATAGAAATTACCGAGAGGTAATAAATTTATTATTCTGTTTTGCCTGGGTTATACTCAAATACGCTTAATGAACTGTGAAAAATGTTGCAATTTTGGGGGAGGGGGGAAAAAATTCTCGACGTGCCTGGGCGGCAATCAGTTAATTATCAGTTTCCCACGCCATTGAAGATCCCGCGAACTTGATAACGCGGTAATTCAATGAAAATCGAAGAAAACCACGCTTTCGCTACGTGGTAATGACGCGCGAACGAAGGCGAACGTTCGCGTTTTACCGCTGTAACGGTTCGAAAGGATAGCGAACAGAGGGGAGAGACGAAAGAAGACTCGTTTCTTTCGCTCTTGTCTCGCCGTTGTCGCACTGAAGTGTTCGTAGACGCGGGCGGGGCGGTCTTCATTCCTCATTCAGGCGGCGTCACGAGCAAGCAGCTTCCGGTGGACGTCACACACGCATCCTTCTTCCTCTGTTTCACGATACATCGTCGACCGAAAACTACGTGCCCCTACGCGTGGCTTCCACGCGTTTCCATTTAACGCCTCGCTGTGTGAGCGAGCGCACACGTATTTTTCACGTATATGTCGCTACGCGCGTCGTTTTCACGTTACTCACGCGGTAGAATTTTCAAGAAGTTTCCGGAGAATGGTCGCGAACATAATTTTGGTACATTTTTAGAGAGGCAGAGGGAACGTTTGAAAGTCTTTTATGTTTTTAGATGCAGTTCTGTTCTTTCGAAAATAGAACGAGTTATAAATTAGTGTTATCTAAATGAAGCGTAAATTGTCAGTTTCCTTTTTTGGAACTTTTATTTTAACGCTAGACGTGCCAACGCCGGGTCAAACGACCGGTTTATAAAAAGCTTGATTTACAATGTTGTTGAGCGAGAATTGTCGTTTCTTCCGTTAATTTTAACTCTTCTTTCTGTTAAAGAAGAAAAGTGAAGTGGAATCGTAATTGGAATTTAAGAAAAGAAGAAAACGACTCTCTTCCAAAATCACCTTCGTCTAGGTCTCAAAAATTTTAACTGTAAAAAAAAGAAATATTAAAATGTTCTCTTGGAAGAATAAAAGTAGCAAACACTCAACAAACAGACAGTAACCTCATAATTAAAATTCCAAAGAGAAAAAAGAAAAGAAAATGAGTGTTCCAAGAACGACTCTCGTTCTTTCAAAAAAAAAATCTTCTAATTCCCTTTCTAAAAATCTTAACTGTAAAGAAAGAAAGAAAAAAAAGAAAAGGAAAATACTGCAAACATTCCCTTGGAAGAACAACAGTAGCAAACACTGAACTTCACAATTAAAATTCCAAAAATGAAGAAAAAAAAAGAAAAAAGAGAAAAGGAGTGTCAAGAATGACTGTCGTTCTTCCAGAAAGTCGCCTCCTGACTTCCAAAAATCCTCAACTGTAACAGAGCAAAGAGAAAAAAAAAAAGAAAAGAAAGGAAAATGGCAACGAAAATGGCAAACACTCAACAAACAGACGATAGCCTCCGTAATTGGAATTTAAACGAAGTCCCCCGGGCGAAATAATCAGAGGCCCACATCGTGCTTTCGGAACGAGTTCTCCGTGTGTTTTCGACGACACAGCGTCGCAGATAGAGATAAAATGTCGTCGCGAGCAATGGAAGCTGAGGCGATCATTAGGCCTCGGATTCGAACGGTCGCGAAAACCAAGAAAAATGGACGACGACAATAACAAAAATTTTCGGGAAATTTATTCGACGTGTGCGCTAATTAAATTAATTCGACGATGACGAGTTAAACGTGCGCGTGCGAGCTTTCTGATCGTGATCGTTAGGGTGCGGCGAGAAAATGATATCCGCGTTGGATGGAAGGGGAGGGTGCTGCCACGGCGGATAAATACCGCGGGAATTTACTATCGAGATAAAAGGGGAAATTTGCATCGGGCGAAAATAACTGGTCGGTGTCGCGTGGTGTTCGGGGCGTAACTTCGCTCGGTTTATAGTCCACAGCGAGAGACTAGTTTAACGACACGTTGCTTAGGCCGCCATACATTCCCATTCGCAAGTATCGAGACAGCCAAGTGGAGATATTCGAGAGAGAGAGAGAGACTTCAGTGACTTTGTTAAACTGTTTGCAGTTGTGTTTTTCACTGCGTGGAAGAACTCGCACTCTGCCAATTGACGAGCTCTTTGTGGTGGTTTCGTCCACAGAAAACTGACGCGCAGTTCTTGCAACGCAGTTTCTCGAATTGTTCAGAAGAGAAAAGTATTTATTTACTAGTTTTTGTTCCTGGATTGCTCGTATCGCTCGTAGAAAAACTGAGAGTATTTTATTTTTACTCTCAAGTGGAATGTAGATTGAAAATTTGAAAGTGTCCTCTGTGAAGACTCTTCTTCAGTCGTTGTAACATCGATTATGAATTTAATTCTTTTCAATACCAGTCACTCTAAAATCGTAAATAATTACAACACGATTTATAATTAAGTTTGTTTTAAATTTTTATTTTTAAATAATTTTGTTTGAATCGAAGTCGAATCGAAAATTTCAAAATTAAATCGCACAATTCCGAAATTAAATAAAGGCTAAGCTACACCGATGCAATATAAAAGCTTCTCTTTGAATTTTATAAAATACCAGACACTCTTAGATCGTACATAATTACAATCAACACGATTTATAATTAAGTTTGTTTTAAATTTTTATTTTTAAATAATTTTGTTTGAATCGAAGTCGAATCGAAAATTTCAAAATTAAATCGCACAATTCCGAAATTAAATAAAGGCTAAGCTACACCGATGCAATATAAAAGCTTCTCTTTGAATTTTATAAAATACAATGTTTCGTAATAGAGCATTTGTGTATTGTATAGAATTAGAAATTTCACTTTGTCACATTCTTCGTGGCAGAGATCACCGATATGTCGAATGCCAAAATTATAATTGTAATAATGAAATCAGATGAACAATTTCGAGATTAAACCGATTGTGTATGTCTCAACTAATTAAACCAATTAATCTCGAGTTCAGTACGAAGACGCCAAGTGTCTGTAACACTTGTGAACGGGACTGTACGCTGGTGCAATATAAAGCAACGCTCGCCAAAACGTTTTCCAACGATCGGTATACCCATAATTGTATCTTTTAGTGGAATCGTGTCCTGCATGTTGGTTTTTCGATGTTTTCTGTTACGGAAGCTGCTACCACAGAGTGTGTTCAAGATGAATGTCCTCGATAGCTCTGAATTACCGATCGAGCCATTAGGATAAGAGGGTGCGCATGCCTGCAACACCAATATCCGGTTTTTTTATCTATGGAATTATTATGTTACATGGGGGTAAAAAATTGAGATATTGGCAGATAACTAACGTCGTAGTTATGCAACTCGAGTTTCTACCGATAAGCTGCCATTTGCATAAGCCACCACGACTCCGTACGACTCTAATTTTTCTCAATGTCGACTTTAGTCGTTTGCACGAAAGTGAACCGTGGTTATCGATGTTACACGTTTCGCACGAGCTTGTGCATAATTTTATTTTCCACGTGGTGGACAGGATGAACCGCATAGCTTGAGTATCTCTCAAAAGTCGTTTCCAAAAGGCGTGGAAAAATTTTTCCAACAAGAGTTGTTTAGTAATGGTACAGGGGCCATAATGTGAGGTTCAAGATCATTATTCATTGAAATGATACAGCTACAAAGGAACTATTACGGTGAAATAATATTCTAAACTTGAGAGATTGTTGACAAAATTTTTTCACATCTTCGAAAACAACTTTTAAAAAACGTTCAAGGTGATCAAGCTACGCGGTTCGCCCTTTATAATAATGATACTGGGTTGCCAACTATATTGAAACAATTTTCTAAACGAATAATTTTATCTCTCAACATATTTCTGTCAGACAAATTGTTATAAAAATATTTTGGAAAAATATGATGGAAATATATTTTCATTTTCTTATATATGTATAATAATAATAATAATAATAATAATAATAATAATAATAATAATAATAATAATAATAATGTAGTTATGTAGCATATATATATATATACATATATAGTATACTATGTAGCATATATATATACATATATAGTATACTATGATAATACAATATACTATGTATGTACAAGTATACACAATCGAAGATCGTACTTTTATACAGTATAATATACTATATATAGCAGTATATTATAATAATATATTATGTACC